AAAAAAATCGATCGGGTGTGCAAAGGCCTAGCTGGTCAACGTGCCGCCACATAACTGGAGTCCATTTTCAAAAAGCCGGTGTGGAGACACCATCCAGAATCGGAGGCACGTTGTTTGAAAACACTGCTAAAACAAAAGTACCAGCCGCAAAACTTCCAGGCGGCCGCCGCCCCCACGCCGTCGCACATATTTACCTGGCGATGGATCACTCAGCCGTGTGGTAATGTATTCTTTCGGAAGGAAGGGTGTAAAAAAAAGAAGGAGAAAGGCGTGCAGCTCCACAGCGCAGACCCAGCTCTGCTCCCCACTCCACAGGATGGTGTAAAATGGCGGCCGCGCTCACGCTGCGAGTGTGGTCGTATCGATGGGGTTTCTCGCACAGCCGCGCACGGGCTCGGCTTTCTCGCGGAAAGAGCGGCCGGCTCCAGCCTGACAACCACGAGGGGTTGGGGGACGGGGGCGGGGCTTGCGGGGAGGGGGGAGGGGCTACCCGCTCCATCAATGACGGGAGGGGCCTGGGCCGCCGAGGGGCGCGTCCCCGCTGAACTCGGCGTGAACGCGGCGCCCAGAACAAAGAGGGGAGATGCGTTGGAGGCGATTGACGCGGCGGGTGGGTCAGGGGATCCCCTTCAGCGCGTCGCCTAGAAACCGAGGTGCTTTCTATTGTTACTGTTGCTAAGCGCAGCGGAGCCGGGCGAAACCCGGAGGACTTGTGCGCAAACGCGGGAGGAAAAGTGAATAATTTCAGAATAATTCAATCGTATTTCTTTCAACCGTTTTCTTATCCCCCGCTCGTGTGTACTTCAACAGCATTTAAACGTGTAAAACGTTTTCGATCACATGTCGGGGCAGTGTAAATGCGATATCGCCTACGAATTTTAATTTTGTTTTTTCCGTTAAAGGCAAAAGCAGTTCATTCACAAAAAAAACAAATTCAACACAAGCACGTTTTGGGGTTTCCGGACGGGCGGCTGTGGTGATACGTTTTCCACGACGGCACAGAAAAGCATTAATGAACTGATAATTCACGGGAATTATCAAGACATCTAACAATCTGACTGAGGTCTAAGGTTAAGTGTAAAAGGCATCGATATTTGTAGCTCCCAAATCATTGTAGCATACAGTCACACATGTACAGTATACACTCCTCCAGGTGAGGACAATATTGTTCATCTTTCATCACTCTGACGCAATATAACAGACTTTCATCATCTCAAGGCACTATACAATAAAACAAAAGCAACTAGTATACATTTAAACAGTAAGTTTAACAATTCCAAGTTTGAGTAAA